CTAATTTCTAAAAGGTTCAGTAATTTTTTTTATGCCTGTGGTCCAATTACTTGACGTTTTCTTTGTCCAAGTTTGTAGGCCTCAGAGATCAGAGTGTTTTCATCCATATGTTTTATTTTCAGCCAGTAATTAATCATACGTTTGATGCTTGATAAGTGGATATTCCCAGTTCAAGTAAACATGCCAAGTTTGTGGCTTTACAGTTTACTTGTAGTAGGTACTTACACATTTTGTGATGTATTTTTTCCATAGGCAAGGATTGTTTAAACAAGTCTGTTGAGTGCATATTAATAATTAGTATTATTTTCATATTTTTTATTGTTTATTTACGACTAATTATTTTCTGTTACCTGTTATTATTAAGTTTTTTTTATATCATTCTTTCCGTTGTCTTATCTACTTAAATTAACTATCCAGCCAAAAGAACCGATTTACGAAAATAACAAACAAAAACAAAAAATAAATAAATAAGAGAATGGATGGAGTGATTTGTGCCCACGTGACGGGATGTAAGGTTGACTCATATCCGTCTGGCGATTAATCTTTCAGATTTTATCAGTGTACAATTCTGCCAGCTTAGACCTCATGATATCAGCCTCCTGCACAACATTCTTCCACTAACAAATTAAACCAAGTTTACACGACCAGCCATAAAATCAGACGATATGTACAAATTGTGTGTTTTCAGTTGATGTGGTTCTTTTTATTTTTGTTTACAAAGGACCAAAATTGGTAAAATTTTAGTGATTGCGTAAATAATATTCTGAATGAGTCACGTGACACGGTCAAGTGAGGAAAATATCTAACGTAGTATTTATCTGGAAAATTAGGCGTCAACTTGATATCAAGTGTGAAGAGAGTTTTTTTTTGTATGCATTTTATATTTGATTATTTTCAGATTGCCGTACTATAAAAATAACCCACCCTGTGTAACAACATACCCGGTCTGACCGCCATAATACTAGTATTATACTCGGACCGCTGATAATGATAAGGTGCAGCTTTAAACCACGCTTTTGTAAATAAGCACTCATGGCATATATAACGACCACCGCTCTTGATATAATGTACGGAATCTTATTTTAATAACATTGATATTTCGCCGTGCATTATCAGAGGTTGACCATTGTATTTCAGAATATATATATAAAATAAATAAAAATTAAAAATATTGCTCAAAACTAAAAGGAGGAAACAAATATTTTGCACAGTTTTTCTACCATTTCCTGTTTCTGACGGCATCACGTGTGAGTGTGCGTAGTTATCATGACGTATATATTGAAACGACCATGGACGAATGGTCACGAGAACTATTCCCAGGTACTAGATTTCGTAGAAAAGTTATGACATTCCTATTTTTATAACTTGTTTTGTATCAATAACATTTCCACATATTGGTACATATAAAAGCCAACGCACGCGAGCGCTTCTTTATAACACAGCTTGGAGCACCGGGTGTACCCGCAGCTAATAGAGTACAGCGCCCAGTTCAAGGTAGGTGTTGATAATTTAGAGAATTGTATGTACGTATACTTTTATCCTTAATGATAAACAAAGCAATCAAATTACATATCCGTTTAAGTCGAATATACATGTATTTCTTGACGTTAGTTGATCGATTCGGACAAAGTGGTAATTTTGTCAAAGCGCTCTGAACCTTAGATATCAACTTGAATAACACGAATAGTTATATGAGTTTAAATTTACATTGGCTTGCCACGATTCTTCTCCGTTAACTAGAAACACTCTTAAAAATATAACCGGGGATTTTACCAAGTTTGTGAGAACTCAAAACTTTCATTTTCAATCAAGTGTCTGCTCTCTTATATAGCTTCGCGAACTTAAAGTTAACGAGTCTTAAACTTACATTGGCTTGCCACGATTCTCCTCCGCTAACTAAAAACATTCTTCAAAGAATCGCCGGGGATTTTACCATGTTTGTGAGAACTCGAATTTCACTTTCAACAAGTGTCTGCTCTCGTAGGATAGCTTCCCTGTTGGCGAGGCACTGTACGGAAATTAATGCCAGGCGATGAGGGCGCCATACAATACGTTACTGTAATTACTGTCCGATCCATGACTTGTTAACATAAGTCCAGCCTTGTTACTCGTTACAATTTCATTGTTTTATATGATAATTCTTTTTCAGAAAAGTGTTTCAAATTAGAAAATTATCGTCGGACCAAGATTTAGAAAAAAGAATTATAAAATTGCCACGTGTAACAGTTATAAATGTATAGCTGTAGAAGATTGTAGAGATATAAGGAATCAATCGGGATAGCAGAGTTGCTGTGGTAGTGATATAGTCACGATATTTATTTGTAGAGACATCGGATAATGATAATACATGTAGTGATAAGAACTTGGCTCCCAGGCGTTGGCTTCGCAGCCACGCCTAGATATACACAGCCCGTGGGACACCAGTTCCCTCATCATCATGCTCCCCTTAAAGCCTACTCATAATTAAAAAACCCCAGAATTTATGCAATTTGCAATAAACTGTACTCCAACCCAATATAAGGATATTGACTTAAAAAAAGTTGGGGGTCACCAGCCTTATTTTTGAGAAATTGATGGTTGTATTTTAGTGGAAAGTCGCCATTTTGACACTATTACAACATTATTACCACAGGTTCCTATGGCAGAGATATTATGCAATATCTAAAAATTTAGCCTGGTGACATAGGCTGAAAAAATTATATATTGTTAATGATGGACTACTTTTTGTTGTTCTGAATTATTTAAAAAATCTGGGTTTTAAAAAGCTCAAAAAGTGCAATTTTTCTTTAACATTGTGCTCTATGGAATTGTTCTAAAAATTTCCAAGAAATATTAGGACACGTTTCTCAAAAAGCATAACTGTAACACACAAAATAATGCTATTTCATTGTACCATGGACATTAGCTACATGATTGTACATAATAAACTAATGAACATTGTTATGTGATTTATGACCAATATTTTCAAAAATTCTGACTAGGCTTCTACCTTAAGAGTCCTCCCTCTATTTATAAGTGAAAACACGTGATATCGTTACGTCACTACGACGCCCAGCACAAGTCAACGTAGTTTGTCAGAACTTAATAACATGCCAAATAAGGAGTGCTAGACAGTCGTGATGACATTTGACATGGCGCGCATAAAAGTGTGAAAATGGTACAGGCTTAAACAATACATTAGAAAATTACATATAGGTGTTGGAATATGGAAATTAAAGTATTATTGCACGTACTGACATCCACAATTGAATGCAATTGTCATGTCATACGTACATGCGGGTAGCACACGGTGACACACTGGCTCGCCACAACTCTCCTCCGTTAACTGGAATCATTCTTCAAAATATCGCCGGGGATTTTACCATATTTGTGAGAACTTAACTTTCACTTTCAATCAACTTGAAGTGTTTGCTCTTGTAGGATAGCTTCGCTGTTGGCGATGCACTTTACGGAATTCGACACAAGGCGATGAGGGCGCCATACAATACGTTACCGTGACTGTAATTACCGTCCGACCCAAGACTAACATAAGTCAAGACATCTAGTATATTTCATAATATCAGAGAGTCCATGTTCAACTAATCTGCTCACTGGCAGCCAATGTAACCACAGCTTCCAGTCTTGTTAATCGTTACAATTTCATTGTTTTATATGCCAATTCTTTTTTAGAAAAGTGTTTCAAATTAGTAATTTATCGTCGGACCAAGATTTAGAAAAAAAGAGTTATAAAATTGCCACGGCTGGTCCAGTCTAAGTTCTTTATAAACGCATGGTTTCTGATTATATTTATTATATTGCAACGGCCAGTCTTTATTAACAATTTCTGTATTACCAATGCTAGCTTTATACATTCCAGTTATTTGTAATACACCAATTTGTCTAAAGTATACTTCAAAACAAATTATACATTAGTAAACCACATCAGTTATCTCAGCTTATTACAGAGAATATAGAACGTTCCTTGGCCAGAGAAATGTCTACCTTAGTGTAGATTATTTCGTTAGAATTTAGATGAGATGCCAATGAACTCAGTTTCCCCATTCATTTCGACATTGCTAAATAGCTTTCGGACATTAAAAACAGCATTTTTGCTGTTAGGCGATATTTATTTCGAATACAGTTAAAACGCGTCATTATTCAAAAGGTCGTTTTGAGGACAGCGTCGCGTCCAGTCGACCTGTTTTGTCGTAAAGAATTATGGGCATTTTTCGGATCAAAGTCGATCTTTTTTTCTATTGCTCGTGTGAACTCGTCCTAATTCTTTATGATAAAACAATTCGGCTAAAGGCGAATCTATCTTCAAAGGGGACTATCGTACTCATAGTTAAGCTGATACCCCCCGGGAGGACGCACGTGACCGTGAAATAAGCACATCCCCCCTGGTGCTTCTTTTGTATGTTGTCTTACACTACCAGAGAAAACACTGGATCAACAGTTTTACGACCTGACGATGTCCAAATCGAGAATGTCCAAATAAATTCGTATATCTTTTGCTGAGGGGGTTTGTTTTTAAGTTGTTTATAAAACGCGGAATCGGAACCAGAATATGTGAAGCAACTCGATTAAATTGCTATGCTATAAACGAACGTAATAATGAATTAAAATGCAAGCTTATATAAGAGCACATTTAATTAAAATCAATTAAAATACAATTCATATAGAAATACAGTTCAATTAAATTGAATTTCTGTATAGGCATTATGATTAGGGATAATGGACATATAGGTATGTAGTGTGTCCGCAACCCAGAATCCTGTGCGGTTTGTACCATCATATAGTTGGCTGGCAAAGTTCGGTAAATGTCACTAGAACGAAATCATCTGCGGATATTCTTCATGCATTCTAAAAAGGTACATTTTCAAATAGTTTTTCTCCTTTCCCCTAAATTGCAGAATAGTTTGAAGTTTAGTTTTTGTCAACAGTAAACCAAACATAGTTTATGATATGATAAATATATAATTCTCAGGTAACTATGAAAATTCCTATCACCTGGTTGTGTCTTTTAAGTTTTGGGTGATATGGACTGGGGAGTTATATAGTTACATGGTGGCCATACAGGAATGCAACTACAGATATGGACTTTATGTATGATATGAATATAGATCTAAAAATAGAACTGACGTAATAGTGATTTTGATTTACGGTTAAGTAAAACGAAATTACTAGTACATTAATGAATGTGACTGATAACTTTAACTATGAAATCCTTAGCACCGTTGGCAGGCTAGTCACACTGGTTCTCACCACAAGAGGTTACGATCCCCCCTGCCAAATGCTAAGAACAACTGAAACTTATATATATATATATACATATTTACATGAAATATTGTCCACCTATGCGGATCTGTTTGTGCAGGAGTTTCACGACCGTATGCCTTTAGTGACGTTAACGTAATAGTAGAACACACTAAAATGTGTGAACTCTGCTTTACTGGCGAAATGGGATGGAAGTTATTTTGTTAGAATTATATTGTTTTTAGCATTGGTTCACATGGTTTAGAGATGTTATGTTATCTCGAATTGTAAACTGGTTACACAGAAACAATATGTATCATGACTGATTGGGATACTTTTTGCTATCCTCAGACATTTCAAAAGTATGGCTATTTTCTCTAACATGATAAAATAGAAATTGTTGAATATTATTTATTATTATTTTCACAAAATACGATACTGTAATACTCGCTGATTATAAAGATATCACCAACTTTACAAAAAAAGTTTGAGTGGACTTCGAGTTTAAAGGGCGGTGGTCGTGACAGCTGCACATGTGCGACGTTTGTGTTGATAAACATTGATTTTCCCACAATCCAATGCGCTCTTCTAATGGAAATCACAAGTATAAATCCACCGAATGATTAAAGTGTTCATACCATATTTACACAGCTTGAAGTACGGGAACGACCAATTTTAACGAGTGATGGCCCAAAAGGATTTCCGGTTTGGTAAACTTATGTGTCCTATGCAACGTCACGGTATACGTGCAATATACACTCGTTGTTTATGTAAATACAAACGCGTACTGTGTGTGACAACTATATTAATAACTACTTCGTTATGTGTTTCAATATTTGCTTGAACAAGCTCCCCAAATTGCTTGATATTATCATCAAATGTGTATCTGCTTTTTCAATATTTTATAATAAACTTATTTTTCAGTTTGAAAGAATATCAGCTCACCGATCAGAGGCAGAGCTCAAAGGTTAACTATGGCTGACCACCATTCTTCTTTTCGACCAATAAAAGTGTGCGTTGCAACCAGTAATCGAGCAGATTATTCGAAACTGTCGCCAATAATGATTGGTTTGAGGGATGATCCGGATTTTGAGCTGCAAGTCATCGTAACAGGCAGTCATTTGTTGGATGATTTTGGGTGAGGAAAGATTTTTTTTATTAGAAAATTTATTTGTTAAATCGTCTTCTTGGTTTCAATCTTGTTTTCGGATACGATAAAACACTTTGATTAAAATCGCTAAATGTATTATTTCTTTACATTTTCCAGAACAACTATAAAAAATATAGAACGCGACAATATCAAAATAAACTGGAAACTCCACACCATTGTCCGAGGCGAAGACGAAGCAGCCATGGTTGAATCAGTCGGACTTTCCTTATCAAAACTTCCTGATATATTGCTTTATTTACAACCTGATTTATTAGTCGTTCATGGCGATCGTTTCGATGCATTAGCTCTGGCTACAGCTGCTGCACTTATGAATATCCGTATTGTGCACGTTGAGGGCGGTGAAGTTAGCGGCACTATTGATGACTCTATTCGCCATGCTATAACCAAGTTATCCCACTATCACCTATGTTGTACGGAGAAAGCTCGTGCCAGACTCATAGCGATGTGTGAAGATGTGGACAGAATTCTGCTGTCAGGTTGTCCCGTCTACGACAATCTATTGAAGATCGACACGTTAAGTACACGCGACAAAGTGATCAAGAAATGGCTTGGTGACGAGGCAAAACCCAAGCAATACATCATTTCTCTACAACACCCTGTTACAACGGAAATAGAACACTCACTAAAGATGTTCAATTTCGCCATGGATGCATTACTAGAGTTTGGCAAGAAAACATTGGTGTTGTATCCAAACGTAGATGCCGGTATGTATGGGACTACTTTCTGTTATCATGAGTTCTATTTCTTGGCATATGATGGCGCTACATCTTTCGAAGTCGAAGAGCGTCGCAGCAGTGAACCTAGACTGGCGCAGTCGGGCGATTAATTTGTTTTTGTAGTTTAAATAAAATAAAAAAATCGCGAAATGGAGGTGTTAGCGGGAAATCCCCTGTAACCACAGGGAGCCCAGGAACTATAATCAACTGTAATACGCAGTCTCTATGAGCGGGGGGGG